ATTATTAACAACCTTTTCACCACAAATTGAGAAAGTTCAAAAGCAATGCCTCAAAAACCACCTTATTATAACTACAGATCAATCAAAATTAAATTAAGTGTGAAAGAACGAATCGTAACTTCAATCAATTAAACTAATTTTGAATTAACTTACAGGAGTTTACTTTTCTTGGAATTTAACATTAATCTGTCACTGATGATGATGTAGAGGCAGTTTACAGATCCTCAACAAAACAAAAACCCTGTTATTGATGGAGAGCGAGTAAAATGTCACATGATGGTGTTCAATGATACAGAAAGGACACTGCAATAGCTGTATAGACACTAATGTCAATACTAAGCGACTGTTAAAAATAGATAACCATTCCCCTCAACAGGACACAAGTCCCCAACATCCGTTATCAGCTCTCAAGCATCATCATCTTTCCAAACAACAGCAATCATAGGATCAGAGGAGAAAAGTGGGATTAAGCTAAATGGATACAGTACATGCCATGGGTAACATTTCTGACATTACTGGGAATAGAGATAGCTTCATCACCAATAAAAAAACTCCCATCCAGAGAAATACATTTTCTATTCAAATGACACCAAATGGCCCTGTAGAGTACATTACTAAACTGTCAAATGCAAACAATTTTTCACATTTTGTAAACAAATCTTATACCAGCTCCTTGTACTGACCAGACAGGAAGTTCCCCACTGTGTACAAGTCTTACACCAGCTCCTTGTACTGACCAGACAGGAAGTTCCCCATTGTGTACAAGTCTTACACCAGCTCCTTGTACTGACCAGACAGGAAGTTCCCCTCTGTATACAAGTCCTACAACAGCTCCTTGTACTGACCAGACAGGAAGTTCCCCACAGTGTACAAGTCTTACACCAGCTCCTTGTACTGACCAGACAGGAAGTTCCCCACTGTATACAAGTCCTACAACAGCTCCTTGTACTGACCAGACAGGAAGTTCCCCACAGTGTACAAGACTTATACCAGCTCCTTGTACTTACCAGACAGGAAGTTCCCCACTGTGTACAAGTGGTACACCAGCTCCTTGTACTGACCAGACAGGAAGTTCCCCACTGTGTACAAGTCTTACACCAGCTACCTATACTGACCAGACAGGAAGTTCCCCACGGTGTACAAGTCTTACACCAGCTCCTTTTACTGACCAGACAGGAAGTTCCCCACGGTGTACAAGTCTTACACCAGCTACCTGTTCTGACCAGAAAGGAAGTTCCCTAATGTGTACAAGCTCCTTGTACTGACCAGACAGGAAGTTCCCCACAGTGTACAAGTCTTACACCAGGTACCTATACTGACCAGAAAGGAAGTTCCCTAATGTGTACAAGCTCCTTGTACTGACCAGACAGGAAGTTCCCCACAGTGTACAAGTCTTACACCAGGTACCTATACTGACCAGAAAGGAAGTTCCCTAATGTGTACAAGCTCCTTGTACTGACCAGACAGGAAGTTCCCCACAGTGTACAAGTCTTACACCAGGTACCTATACTGACCAGAAAGGAAGTTCCCTAATGTGTACAAGCTCCTTGTACTGACCACATGTGCACAGACATGTTTATGATTAAGCACCACTTTGTTAATTTATATATTTTTACATTTGTCACTGAACCATGTCAAAATATACTCCTATATTTATTAAGTTTTCTTCAATAGTTTCCATCAAACTGTCAGGATTGTTGTCGATATTGTGTATAGTGTCCACCAAATTAATCACGGTCTGTTAGTCTTAACTAAGAGATACATTTAACCAATCCTGCTCCAAGCTTCCCAACACATAGCACTATACAATGACTAGACACTGTTGATATAATTGCCAGAACCCACATAAACAAGACCCCAATTTTAATGCTTTCTGCTTCATTATCATACTAAATATCCCTCATTCTTATGGAAATATTCCTTCATAATTAATAATTCCAACTACTGTCAAATCAGGTATTTTCGTGGTAATTTGGTGGTTTTACAAAAATAAGCATTTTAGTTGCCTCTCAATTTTAGGAATAAATCTTACGGAGTTAAACAGGACCAAACACATGTAGTCATGGGAACAATTAGTAACAGAGTTAAACATTCAAACACATGTAGTCATGGGAACAATTAGTAACAGAGTTAAACATGTTCAAACACATGTAGTCATGGGAACAATTAGTAACAGAGTTAAACATGTTCAAACACATGAAGTCATGGGAACAATTAGTAACAGGGTAAAACAGGTCCAAACACATGTAGTCTTGGGAACAATTAGTAACAGGATAAAACAGGTCCAAACACATGTAGTCAAGGGAACAATTAGTAACAGAGTTAAACATGTTCAAACACATGTAGTCATGGGAACAATTAGTAACAGAGTTAAACATGTTCAAACACATGTAGTCATGGGAACAATTAGTAACAGAGTTAAACATGTTCAAACACATGAAGTCATGGGAACAATTAGTAACAGGGTAAAACAGGTCCAAACACATGTAGTCTTGGGAACAATTAGTAACAGGGTAAAACAGGTCCAAACACATGTAGTCAAGGGAACAATTAGTAACAGAGTTAAACATGTTCAAACACATGTAGTCATGGGAACAATTAGTAACAGGGTAAAACAGGTCCAAACACATGTAGTCATGGGAACAATTAGTAACAGAGTTAAACATGTTCAAACACATGAAGTCATGGGAACAATTAGTAACAGGGTAAAACTGGTCCAAACACATGTAATCATGGGAACAATTAGTAACAGAGTTAAACATGTTCAAACACATGAAGTCATGGGAACAATTAGTAACAGGGTAAAACAGGTCCAAACACATGTAGTCAAGGGAACAATTAGTAACAGAGTTAAACATGTTCAAACACATGAAGTCATGGGAACAATTAGTAACAGGGTAAAACAGGTCCAAACACATGTAATCATGGGAACAATTAGTAACAGAGTTAAACATGTTCAAACACATGAAGTCATGGGAACAATTAGTAACAGGGTAAAACAGGTCCAAACACGTATATTATTGGCAACAAATAGCAACAGAGTAAAACAGGTCCAAACACATGTAGTCATGGGAACAATTAGTAACAGAGTATAACAGGTCCAAACACATGTAGTCATGGGAACAATTAGTAAAAGAGTAAATCAGGTCCAAACACTCGCCATTTTGGATTTTGGACCAACCGAAAAAATAACACTAGGTCAGGGCCATTACAGGATAATTTGATACAAGTTTTAGGTAATTCTCAGCAGTGAAACTTGAGAATCTTTAATAGATTCAAAATTGTGATTGTGCAATCTTGTTACAAAATGGAGTTTAATATGTGCTTTTCAAGATGGCAGCCACGGTGGTTGTATCGGATATTGAACTGACCCAAAACATAACAGTACATTGTAAGGATCATTTCAGGATCATCTCAGGTAAGTTGAAGCTGAGTTTCAATGTTGTAACTTGAGAAGAAGTGTAAAATGTGTTTTTTTAAGATGGCTTGACATGGCAGCTATTTTGGATTTTGAAGCGACCCAAAAATTAACATTTGGTCTGACCCATCCCTGGATAATTTCAGTTTCTACTCCATCTCACTGGTAGTAGTTGAGAACAAGTTTAAAATGCATAAAGTTTATGCACGGCAGACACGGCAAGCCAACAAAGATGGACAAAAGATGATGGCTGTACATCAATATAACAGATGTCCTTTTAAGTTATTATATATCAAGATACATATATGTAATGTAAAGCTTCAAATTTTGTCACATACACTATCTCTATACCAGAAAAAAAATCTCAATCAACCTTTCTTTATTATTTTTGTTGTAATGTTTATTTGTATACGTAAGATATATATACTGAGAGGAAAAAGAAACGCAATAAGGAATTTCCAGATCAACTACGGGCAATAGAAAAGGGTTTTAGAATGTCGTTATGGTGTAAGTGGAAGATAGTTGACCACTCTGTCATCTACGAGAATTTCATTCGTGTACGTTAAGTAAACCTTTCAAATTTGACATTGATTCAAGAGTACCCCACTCAAAATGAAGTGCGTTCTGGACCCATCAATATCGTGTCTGCCCCCCGTGAGCTGCACTAACTGCACAAATTCTTTTGTGCATTGAATTGATCGGGGTATTAACCCTCCTCATTGTTATATGATTACATTCCTCATCCAGCGCCAATGCCAACTGAGCGACGTTGATTGGAGGATTCAGTCTATTTCTTATCCTTCTGTCCAACTCGTCCCATAAATGTTCTATTGGGGAGAGGTCAGGGCTGTATGGGGGCCAGTCTAGGGTGCGGACATTGTTTGCTGTGAGATAACCACGGCAATCCCTCACTACATGCGGCCGGGCGTTGTCCTGCTGAAACGTCAGTTGACGCTGCTGTACTAGAGGAACAACATGCTCAAAGTGAAATCACAGAGGACAAAATCAAACAGAGGCATTCTTCTACACCATTTCTGATTAATGGAGTCATTATGTCAATTTCATATCAAGAAATCACAACTGATTTCTGACCTACGCAGCAAAAAAAAACACTCCAGGGTATATAATACACAAGTGATACATGCCATAATATTACACAGCAGAATTCACAGAGTAACAGACTGATCATGTGATAAAACTCATTGTCATTGTCACAAACTTTGGTTGGTGAAGAATGTGAGCTGACAGGTGTTATTTCCCTTGGTGCCTGTATTCTGTATTAATTCTCATACATTACACTAAACTTTTAAACAACATCAACAACTCAGTTATTCAACAGGTCTTCAGCAAATACCACTAAATTGTTCATCCTTCCAATAAGAACGCTTTCCGATGAGCTTATCAAATATCTACAGCACACAATATTTGTCAGGTTTTTCAAGATTTAATTAACAATAACATCTTCATGGGATCTTCAGCAGGTGTTGATTAAAACATATCACATATCTGGAAGGATTCTAAATCCGATGATTGCAAGATTTCACTATCACTGATGCAGAATATATCTGTATTAAAAGTACGTTCAGTTATCATTTATTTCCTGTCTGGATAGAACTGCTTGAGGAAAATAAAGCTGCTCACTTAGCCTTTCACCTAGATGTGTGGGGCTCGATTTCTAGAACAGATGTAAAAAAAGTACTGCCACTTCCTCCCACAGTAAGACCCCTAGTGCTCAGGGCCAACAACAGTAATCAATGTAAGTTGGCATTACTTATTTTGCAATTTTTGTAAAAAGGTTTAATCAATTTAAAAAGAAAAAAATTCAGTTCTGTTGATTAAACATTTAGGCACTGATATCTTTATCCCAGATAATTAAGCACAACATGAAAGATAGATGACCTTATAATAAACAAGAGATCCCAGAGGGATCTTGGCACCCACCATTGTTTGATCTTTATATGCTCTTTGAAAGTTGGATCTTTTCCATTCTTTTCCCTTCTCTTCTCTGGTTATGCTCTTAATGATAAGACATTTGAGCATTCCTTTGCAGAAATAGCCATAATAATCTTTACCTGTCAAATTCAAAATGGCAGTCTGGAAGCCATTTTGTTTCTTTTGACCAGTCCCAAAATCAAATTGGCACAACTAGAGACCAAGGGGAACCTACATATGAACTTTAAGAAAGATCCATCAAGCACTTCTCAAGAAATAGCAATAACTAATTTTTCAAAGTCAAAATTCAAGATGGCCACCTCAGTATGAATGCAGTTTTATAACTCACCCACATTTTCTTATTAATGAAGACCTCAGGAACAGGCAGTTTCAATCACTCCAAAATCTAGGAAAGAGCAATACATAGAGAGGCCTATTACCAATCCAGCATCATCAGCCTCAGATTAATTACAAACTGATTTAATTACCTGATTGGTGACTCCCACCACTCCCACACTGATGCCATGATTTGTCTTGGTACCAATTGGATATTTATATTCAGTTTCTGTAGTAACTTTCTCGTTTTTCTGACTAGTTGTTGAGGGATAGGACAACTCCGCCTGTCAAAACAAAAACTTAGATACAAACTTAAAAATCAACAGGCTGAGTAGGCATGTATCCCTAACCTGTAGTTTATGACGACTAAATTATAGAATACTTACTTCTGGTAACTTTTATATTAATATCACACACTGTGTCCCTTTCTTTATAAAGGCACAAAACTCAGTGCTCTTAATTAGTAATTAAAAAGGAGATTTTAACATATTTGACCCTTTATACCTTGAAAGTAGGTCAAGGTCATTCAAATGAATTAACTTGATAGCCTTTTATCCAAATATGGCACTGGCCCATGTTTATGACCTATAACTTCATGGTTATTAAGCAGAAGAATTCAGAAGAAATTAGTTGATGTCGTATGGCCACAAACTGACAGCATATTACCAGACAACAGGTACCACACCTTCGGCCACATAAACTTCATCTTGAACGGCTTCATCAGGTCTGTACTGATAATTATTGAATGATTAAATAGGATTAAAGGTAAGGAATTACCATCATTGAAAAAGTTTGATTATCCATTTCAAGGCGAGTAGGGATGTCTACGTGTGCTGATATCACATCACCAGTGTCCGGCATGGTCAAGGTGAGCGGAGGCAGGAGATCTGCATTGGGTACCCAATTTTTAGACAGAGCAAATGTCACTGATACACCCAGAGCCGATCGTTCAGCTGATGGAATTGATCCTCCAGCAGCATCCGTCACCTTCACCTAGAAAACAAGTATATTCAAGAACTTCCAGAATTTTTGTGGATCAATTAAGAAATTCAGTTTACAATGACAACGAAATAAAAAAGTTTACATGTTTTCATTACTTCCTCTCGCTGAAGTAAAGGACAGAATACAAAGAGAATGTGGTTGGACAGAAGACTAGTTCTTATATGATCAGAAAATCAAGGTCAATTGAGCCATCTGGTTATTTAACTGTAGTTTTGCAATGAATGACTTGGACATTGGATTTTTTTGAAAATATCAAATTAAAAGAAAACCAGCCACATTTCACAAAAAGTTTAGAAACAATAGTATCTGATATACTGTAATCTAAAGTCTTGACATATAAATAATATTGGCGACTGGAAGTCAAATTAATTTACAGTTTCTGGATGAAACAACACCTAACACACCCTTCATACTTACGAATATATTACGTGGCATTCCGTATATAAACGACCCATCATCGTTGATGAAGGTAATTTTGTATGGCATCATGAACATTGGCACGCTTTTCTCAGCTGACTCCACTTTTGCTGTCACATCTTCAACAACCCTGACCAGAACAGACGCCTGATAATTAAGCCATCTACTGACGTGTTCTCGCGTTACAGTGAAACTGAAGGAACTCTGTCCATTCTACAAAAATGAAGAGGATTGACCATTAAAGAGGTATTGTACCTTGGATAACAAATACAATTAATGACTTCTGAGCTCACTGACAGCAGTCACAGAGAAATGTTTGGTTATTTTATAGGCCCTAGGAGAGGATCAGGGTGTAGGAGGATCTTACTGTGCCATTCAAAAACTCACCCACAAACAAATTCTCATCAAAATATGACAAATTTCACAAAAAAAAACCATTACAGTATATAAAATGACTGTGAATTCATGGTCAGATATACTAAATGAGACGATACTGTAAATGTGTTGTGGAAATTGTCACTAAATACACAAAAGTCATTCAGTAACTTCCCCCAAATGTTTAGTGTTAAGATGTATATGGTATGTGATAATGGATATTTAATGAAGAGCATAATTAACAGCTGACAAAGAAGTTAAATCACTGAATCAAATAACTTATTTCTTTTTTAAGTTATTTCATCATAAGTAATTATTTTAAATTCTCATTTTGTGATCTCTCATCACACAAGTTAGGATTTCCTGCGATGCTTTTGTACAAAATCATCATTTAAACAAACATATATTTTTTGATTTGTGAAAACTCTATAGCTGTGGCTAGATAAATGTACAAAGTTCACATGGCCCTGATTATAACAGGTTTGCATTATATAAGTCAAACAGAATGAAACATTAATATAAGATCAGTGAAGTATATCAGTGAACAGCACACACACTTGCGTATTTACCCAATATTTTACATAAAATCAATGATCCAGTGACCTTTCAGGTCAGGATTTCCCGATGTGCTATATCTAGACAATTTGGCTAAGAGTATCTAAAACATTTAAACATCATTTAAGTTGTTTCATGGAATTAAGACCTTATCACACAATACCTAATGTATAAGAAGTTTTGAAACTATAGACAAGGGGAGATAAATCAAGCAGAGAAGAAACACAGAAATGTGGACAATCAAGGGATACAACTTCTATTGGTATCTTTTAGAAATATACACTTAATACATAAATGACTGCTAATCATGGAAACAACTGCTATGTTTGTAGTCAGCCTAAGAGATTATAAACATAGAGTTCAGGTACTAGGAAAGTTATACTTGATAATATTGCTTGCTTTCAATAGACTTACTACAAGTGTTTTTTCCAATAGTTCGTGCTGGCTGTTACTGGTTACCTGGACAATTGCCTTTCCGTTAACAGACTTCCCGTAGGTGTACCTTTAACAAATGTGTACAAAGTAAATAAAATGCTCACCAGAGTTATCCTGCATTAACTCCGACAAATCACACTACAAACTCAGAATTAGAAAACTGGCTTAGAGTAGACACAGATATAACATCTCAACTGTATGGGTGGCTTATTAGTGGACATAATTGTTTGATTAAATTTGATCAAATCTTAGTGATATTCAACAAATAGAAAATACAGTTATACAGAATACAACGCTGTTTTAGATTTTTTTATGTTCAATGAAATAAACAACTATTTACTGCAGTTACAAGAATTGTTTACAATCAACAATTGATTTTATTGTGAAAAATTCATCAATTCAATCAGTTCAACAACAAGACTAATTTTCCTCGGTACTCACTTGGCTAAAATGTCCACCGTCAGTATACCAGCATTTTGTCCGGGATACAGTTTAATAAAACTTGGAACAGTGACATCGACGGAGAACTTGGGGAGAACTGTATAAAATTAGAAAAAGTGTTGGTAACATTTTAGATGTATGTCCCCCCCAACTAACCAACAGTTTCAGCCTGGATTTAAAAAAAAGCTCATAAAAAATTTAAGGAATTTTGTCACTCTTCATCAACATTGCATTGAAATATTTCTGTTTACAACAAGTAAATGAAAAACATCATCATCATCATACAAACCTGATCATTTAGCTACAATTCAACATACAATAAATTCCTTTGAGTAATTAGGTTTTTTTCTACGGGCTCTGTGGACTTGTTGACTTCATAAAATTTCTCTTGTTGACTTCATAAAATTTCTCTTGTTGTTGACTTCATAAAATTTCTCTTCCAATCTGTACAATTGTCTTCCCACTATGAGTGCAGAAAGCACTGGTTATGTATACTTTCATTAAATATGAAATTCTGCCTGAGAAAGAGTGAAGTTTGAAAGACATTTCAACGAATAAGCAATCACTTACCATACTTTTCCACCTTGAATGTCTCTGTGGCTGTAATTTCCTAAAAATACAAAAATTCTTTTCAAAGCAGAATTCCCTTCTTATTCTAAAATCGGGAGGACTTGTTTGTCTGATATCTGACCATGCTTAATATTTTTGTTTATAAACTGAAAAAGGCTGAATTATATTATTTTTGAAGAAATTTCATTTGTGGACTACTTTCTTTGACGGCGTAGTTGACAGTGTAATTTGGTTATTAGTGTCAACAATTTCAACATTTTCTCATGATTAAGGTACTTCTCTTGAGTATCACAAAATAATCACAGATTTCAAATTTGTGAATTCTGGCTTATCAACCCACTTTCAAAGACATTTAGGACCCCAAAACAAACATTTTAGCTGCTTTTTTGGTCATTTGGCTTAAGTTAAAAAAATTGAAGTACAGGAATTCCTCTTTCTTAATTATGAAAAATATCTTCAAAAATTCAAAAAAAATGTAAAGGTCAAATCAATAAACAAGTTATGTTTTTTTTTTCAAACTTTTAAAATTTTGGTTGCTAAATAGTTCAGAGCTCCTTCACTTAAATAAAAAATTAACCTTTTTTGTTTTAATAAAAAATGAAAACTTATTTTAAATCTAAGTACTGAAAGTACTGAGTATGGAGGTTAGTCTTCTCTTAGAAGCTGCGACCTCGAGCGTGATTCTAAGATCTTTTAAAAACTACATCTATCTCTGTTTTATTTTTATACACCTTACCTCCAGTTCAACAATTCAAAATAACATTCCCCTAAAAACAACATCAGTAAAAGGATATAAGTGATTACATATCATATGTTCTCCATATTAGCAAACCTGTGAATCAACATAGGCTTTGTATAGTTTTTTGATAAAGTACAACAAAGGATATAAACAATACTATGTTGGATGTTGGGGAAAACTCATGGGGGAAATTAATTACATTGTCAGATGGGAAACAACTTACTCAGAAGATGTTGTCCTCTGCAGAAAATTGTGTCTCTAATCCATGTTATTGGAGACAGAAATGTGGTATGGAGCTCGTGCATAATTGCACATATCACAAGACACAATGACTTGCAAGGTTCTGACCAGTGACTCGCAAGGTTCTGACCAGTGACTCACAAGGTTCTGACCAGTGACTCACAAGGTTCTGACCAGTGACTCCCCAGGTTCTGACTAGTGACTACCAAGGTTCTGTCTAGTGACTCGCATGGTTCTGACTAGTGACTCGCAAGGTTCTGACTAGTGACTTGCAAGGTTCTAACTAGTGACTACCAAGGTTCTGACTAGTGACTACCAAGGTTCTGTCTAGTGACTCGCATGGTTCTGACCAGTGACTCACAAGGTTCTGACTAGTGACTGCCAAGGTTCTGTCTAGTGACTCGCAAGGTTCTAACTAGTGACTCCCAAGGTTCTGACTAGTGACTCGCAAGGTTCTGACTAGTGACTGCCAAGGTTCTGTCTAGTGACTCGCATGGTTCTGTCTAGTGATTAGCAAGGTTCTGACTAGTGACTGCCAAGGTTCTGTCTAGTGAATCACAAGGTTCTGACTAGTGACTCCCAAGGTTCTGTCTAGTGACTCGCAAGGTTCTGACTAGTGACTCGCAAGATTCTAACTAGTGATTAGCAAGGTTCTGTCTAGTGACTTGCAAGGTTCTGACTAGTGACTCGCAAGATTCTAACTAGTAATAAGTAAGGTTCTGACTAGTGACTCGCAAGGTTCTAACAAGTGACTCACAAGGTTTTGTCTAGTGACTCGAAAGCTTATGACTAGTGACTCACAAGATTCTAACTAGTGATTAGCAAGGTTCTGACTAGTGACTCGCAAGGTTCTGACTAGTGACTCTCAAGGTTCTGTCTAGTGACTCGCAAGGTTCTGACTAGTGACTTGCAAGGTTCTGACTAGTGACTCCCAAGGTTCTGTCTAGTGACTCGCAAGGTTATGACTAGTGACTCGCAAGGTTCTGACAAGTGACTCACAAGGTTCTGTCTAGTGACTCCAAAGGTTCTGATTAGTGATTAGCTCCATTTCCCCTGTAATGATTCCCACTCCTCCCATCCCACAGTCTCATCAGTGGGTCAGTGACTCACAAGGTTCTAACTAGTGACTCACAAAGTTCTGACTAGTGACTCACTAGTGATTAGAAAGGTTCTGTCTAGTGACTCGCAAGGTTCTGACAAGTGACTCACAAGGTTCTAACTAGTGACTCACAAAGTTCTGACTAGTGACTCACTAGTGATTAGAAAGGTTCTGTCTAGTGACTCGCAAGGTTCTGTCTAGTGACTCACAAGGTTCTGTCTAGTGACTCGCAAGGTTCTGACTAGTGACTCGCAAGGTTCTGACAAGTGACTCACAAGGTTCTGCCTAGTGACTCGCAAGGTTCTGACTAGTGACTCGCAAGGTTCTGACAAGTGACTCACAAGGTTCTGTCTAGTGACTCCAAAGGTTCTGATTAGTGATTAGCTCCATTTCCCCTGTAATGAATCCCACTCCTCCCATCCCACAGTCTCATCAGTGAGTCAGTGACTCACAAGGTTCTAACTAGTGACTCACAAAGTTCTGACTAGTGACTCACTAGTGATTAGAAAGGTTCTGTCTAGTGACTCGCAAGGTTCTGACAAGTGACTCACAAGGTTCTGACTAGTGACTCGCAAGGTTCTGTCTAGTGACTCACAAGGTTCTAACTAGTGACTTACAAGGTTCTGACTGGTGACTCACAAGGTTGTGATTTGTGATAAGCTCCATTTCCCCTGTAATGAATCCTACTCCTCCCAACCCACAGTCTCATCATCCAAGGATGCTTCTAGCCAAAGTGGGACAGAATCCCATCTTTACTAGAGAGGAATATAGGATTTAAAGAATTTGTTCTATTTCCCATATTGGGCCTCTCTGGCCCCTGTGGGGGCCGAGACCCATCATTTATCCAAAATTGATTCCCTTCACCCAATGATGCTTCAGACCAAATATGGTCTAAATCTGGTAAGTTGTTTATTTAAGTTGTTTACTTTGAGACAAACTCTCATAAGATACTTGATGGGTCTAATAAAAATCATCTTTATAATAGAAAAGTGAAGATATGGACACCAACAACCTAGTCACAACACAAACGCATTGTACATATTGCGAAACATACCGGAGTGTTTGTAGCCATGATGAAGATCGTCCATTCCCCGTAGGCTGGGTCATTTACTAGCTTGAAATCCGTAGAGACCACACCTACAGAAGTCAAACAAAATAGGACTAACAATTATCATACTCACCCTTTCAGTTCCCCGTCCTTTGAGTTTGACCTTGACAAAATTCTTCCCTTTTGTTTCCTACCAACTTGACCTTGATTCTATTCTTTTGCCATTTCTTCCCATTAGCTTGAATTGACCTTGACCTTGACCCCATTCCTTCTCCATTGATTCCTATCTACTTTACCGTGACCCCATTTTTCCCCACTCATTCCCTTAAGGTTGACTTGACTTTGACTCCATTCTTTACAAAATAATTCGTACTAATTTCATCTTGACAACACCTTCACATAGAAAGGACATATAACTCATTTGACTTTGACCCTTGAGGTTGACGTAATGCCGTTAATTTTGGTTTCTATTCCAAAACAAAACTCTTTATCTCTACAGCTCTGTCTTCTGCCATGAATGAGTTTCACTTCACTGATCTTTTTGACCTTCAACTGAATTATTTGACCTTGACTGTCCTTTTACATCAACAATCTTGACCTATTTTCTTACCAAGATTTGGAGTAACACCTTTGTAGTGAGCCAGCTTGTTTCCCTTTGGGTCCTGAAAACAATAAAATCCATGTTAAAATTAAACATATGGACAGCAAGGAAGTTGAGGTGTGCATTGTTAACATTTTACATAATTTTTGGAAAAGTTGGCAACATTTAAAGATAGGGAAATATATGATTTCAAATTAGAATTTTAAATAGAGTTTAATCAACACCTTTTGTATTACAACTATTATCTTTATTATTTTAATTTTCATTTCTTATAAAAACATGACCTGGAAGTTTGATATTTTTTGATGAACACCATCTGAAATAACAGCCTCATTAATGTTTATCTGTACACAGTAAATCTGTCCTTGGAACATTTATAATTTGTCCCCTGGGGGAAAGATTCCTCAAAATATTTCCAATAGCAAATCGATAATCAGTGAATTACAAAATTTAACAAAATATGAAAAGAATGTGCAGAAATTGTTAAATTGTTTGACACATAATGGAGGATCTGTCGGTGACTGTCAGCATATGGAGAAGTATAACAGCATGAAGCAATGAGGGGTTGGCATTTAAGGTAACAACAAACATTGGTAACAGGATAACACAGTCAAAAGAAAATTTGCACAAAATAGAACTTACCTTTATAATAATATCAAGGTTGGAATCAAGAGGCTTGGTCACTGACGATATCACTGCACCTCTGATGTGTACTGTAAATTTATTGACAAGACATTAAAACTACAGTAAACCAATGTGTTAACCACTAATGTGTTCTGTAAATTTATTGACAAGAATATGAAACTACAGCAAACCTATGTGTTAACCACTAATGTGTTCTGTAAATTTATTGACAAGACTTTAAAACTACAGCAAACCTATGTGTTAACCACTAATGTGTTCTGTAAATTTATTGACAAGAATATAAAACTACAGCAAACCTATGTGTTAACCACTAATGTGTTCTGTAAATTTATTGACAAGACTTTAAAACTACAGCAAACCTATGTGTTAACCACTAATGTGTTCTGTAAATTTATTGACAAGACTGTAAAACTACAGCAAACCTATGTGTTAACCACTAATGTGTTCTGTAAATTTATTGACAAGACTTTAAAACTACAGCAAACCTATGTGTTAACCACTAATGTGTTCTGTAAATTTATTGACAAGACTTTAAAACTACAGCAAACCTATGTGGTAACCACTAATGTGTTCTGTAAATTTATTGACAAGACTTTAAAACTACAGCAAACCTATGTGTTAACCACTAATGTGTTCTGTAAATTTATTGACAAGACTTTAAAACTACAGCAAACCTATGTGTTAACCACTAATGTGTTCTGTAAATTTATTGACAAGAATATAAAACTACAGCAAACCTATGTGTTAACCACTAATGTGTTCTGTAAATTTATTGACAAGACTTTGAAACTACAGCAAACCTATGTGTTAACCACTAATAAGTTCTGTAAATTTATTGACAAGACTGTAAAACTACAGCAAACCTATGTGTTAACCACTAATGTGTTCTGTAAATTTATTGACAAGACTTTAAAACTACAGCAAACCTATGTGTTAACCACTAATGTGTTCTGTAAATTTATTGATAAGACTGTAAAACTACAACATTTTGTCTGTCATTACCTGTTTGTCCCTCTTTGTACACCTTTTGTTTGTCATTACCTGTTTGTCCCTCTTTGTACACTTTCTGTCATTACCTGTTTGTCCCTCATTTAACACTTTTTGTCTGTCATTACCTGTTTGTCCCTCTTTGTACACTTTTTGTCTGTCATTACCTGTTTGTCCCTCTTTGTACACCTTTTGTCTGTCATTACCTGTTTGTCCCTTTTTGTACACCTTTTGTCTGTCATTACCTGTTTGTCTCTCTTTGTACACCTTTTGCCTGTCATTACCTGTTTGTCCCTCTTTGTACACCTTTTGTTTGTCATTACCTGTTTGTCCCTCTTTGTACACTTTTTGTCTGTCATTACCTGTTTGTCCCTCATTTAACACTTTTTGTCTGTCATTACCTGTTTGTTCTTCTTTGTACACTTTCTGTCTGTCATTACCTGTTTGTCCCTCTTTGTACTTCTTTTGTCTGTCATTACCTGTTTGTCCTTCTTTGTACACCTTTTGTCTGTCATTACCTGTTTGTCCCTCTTTGTACACTTTTTGTCTGTCATTACCTGTTTGTCCCTCTTTGTACACCTTTTGTCTGTCATTACCTGTTTGTCCCTCTTTGTACACCTTTTGTCTGTCATTACCTGTTTGTCCCTCTTTGTACACCTTTTGTCTGTCATTACCTGTTTGTCCCTCTTTGTACACCTTTATTCTGTCTTTACCTGTTTGTGCTACTTTGTACACCTTTTGTCTGTCATTACTTGTTTGTCCCTCTTTGTACACCTTTTGTCTGTCATTACCTGTTTGTGCTACTTTGTACTCCTTTTGTCTGTCATTACCTGTTTGTCCCTCTTTGTACACATTTTGTCTGTCATTACCTGTTTGTCCCTCTTTGTACTCCGTTTGTCTGTCATTACTTGTTTGTCCCTCTTTGTACACCTTTTGTCTGTCATTACCTGTTTGTCCCTCTTTGTACACCTTTTGTCTGTCATTACCTGTTTGTCCCTCTTTGTACACTTTTTGTCTGTCATTACCTGTTTGTCCCTCTTTGTACACCTTTTGTCTGTCATTACCTGTTTGTCCCTCTTTGTACACCTTTTGTCTGTCATTACCTGTTTGTCCATCTTTGTACTCCTTTTGTCTGTCATTACCTGTTTGTCCCTTTTTCTACACTTTTTGTCTGTCATTACCTGTTTGTCCCTCTTTGTACACTTTTTGTCTGTCATTACCTGTTTGTCCCTCTTTGTACACTTTTTGTCTGTCATTACCTGTTTGTCCATCTTTGTACTCCTTTTGTCTGCCAGTACCTGTTTGTGCTACTTTGTACACCTTTTGTCTATCATTACCTGTTTGTGCCTCTTTGTACTCCTTTTGTCTGTCATTACCTGTTTGTCCCTCTTTGTACACCTTTTGTCTGTCATTACCTATTTGGGCCTCTTTGTACACCTTCTTGTCTGTCATTACCTGTTTGGCCCTCTTTGTACTCCTTTTGTCTGTCATTACCTGTTTGTTCCTTTTTGTACACTTTTTGTCTGTCATTACTTGTTTGTCCCTCTTTGTACACCTTTTGTCTGTCATTACCTTTTTGTCCCTCTTTGTACACCTTTTGTCTGTCATTACCTGTTTGTCCCACTTTGTACTCCTTTTGTCTGTCATTACCTGTTTGTCCCTCTTTGTACACCTTTTGTCTGTCATTACCTGTTTGTCCCACTTTGTACTCCTTTTGTCTGTCATTACCTGTTTGTCCCTCTTTGTACACTTTTTGTCTGTCATTACCTGTTTGTCCCTCTTTGTACACCTTTTGTCTGTCATTACCTGTTTGTGCATCTTTGTACTCCTTTTGTCTGTCATTACCTGTTTGTTTGTACACCTTTTGTCTGTCATTACCTGTTTGTCCCTCTTTGTTTTGTCTGTCATTACCTTTTTGTCCCTCTTTGTACACCTTTTGTCTGTCATTACCTGTTTGTCCCACTTTGTACTCCTTTTGTCTGTCATTACCTGTTTGTCCCTCTTTGTACACCTTCTTGTCTGTCATTACCTGTTTGTCCTTCTTTGTACACCTTTTGTCTGTCATTACTTGTTTGTCCCTCTTTGTACACTGTTTGTCTGTCATTACCTGTTTGTCCCTCTTTGTACACTTTTTGTCTGTCATTACCTGTTTGTCCCTCTTTGTACACCTTTTGTCTGTCATTACCTGTTTGTCCCTCTTTGTACTCCTTTTGTCTGTCATTACCTGTTTGTCCCTCTTTGTACTCCTTTTGTCTGTCATTACCTGTTTGTCCCTCTTTGTACACTTTTTGTCTGTCATTACCTGTTTGTCCCTCTTTGTACACTTTTTGTATGTCATTACCTGTTTGTCCCTCTTTGTACACTTTTTGTCTGTCATTACCTGTTTGTCCCTCTTTGTACACCTTTTGTCTGTCATTACCTGTTTGTCCCTCTTTGTACACTTTTTGTCTGTCATTACCTGTTTGTCCCTCTTTGTACACCTTTTGTCTGTCATTACCTGTTTGTCCCTCTTTGTACACCTTTTGTCTGTCATTACCTGTTTGTCCCTCTTTGTACACCTTCTTGTCTGTCATTACCTGTTTGTCCCTCTTTGTACACCTTTTGTCTGTCATTACCTGTTTGTCCCTCTTTGTACACCTTCTTGTCTGTCATTACCTGTTTGTCCCTCTTTGTACACCTTCTTGTCTGTCATTACCTGTTTGTCCCTCTTTGTACACCTTTTGTCTGTCATTACCTGTTTGTCCCTCTTTGTACACTTTCTTGTCTGTCTGGATGAGGATTATGCCTGTCTTAACCAGAACATCCAATTTCTTGGTAACGTTGAAGATAACGCCAGATTTGCTTTCAATTGTCAGATAATACTTTCCGCCTTGAATTGTTTCTGGGATCTGAAAAAAATATGCTTTCATCAGCACCTGGCTTTCTTATAGAGATTTCCACCTCAGTAACTGACTTTGTAGAGACTAACTCCCCAGTGACTAACTTTGTAGAGACTAACTTCCCAGTAACTAACTTTGTAGAGACTAACTCCCCAGTAACTGACTTTGTAGAGACTAACACCCCTAACTGACTTTGTAGAGAATACCTCCCCAGTAATTGACTTTGTAGAGACTAACTCCCCAGTAACTGACTTTGTAGAGACTAACTCCCCAGTAACTGACTTTGTAGAGACTAACTCCCCAGTAACTGACTTTGTAGAGACTAACACCCCTAACTGACTTTGTAGAGAATACCTCCCCAGTAATTGACTTTGTGGAGACTAACTCCCCAGTAACTGACTTTGTAGAGACTAACTCCCCAGTAACTGACTTTGTGGAGACTAACTCCCCAGTAACTGACTTTGTAGAGACTACCTCCCCAGTAACTGACTTTGTAGAGAATACCTCCCCAGTAATTGACTTTGTAGAGAATACCTCCCCAGTAATTGACTTTGTAGAGACTAACTCCCCAGTTGACTTTGTAGAGACTAACTCCCCAGTAACTGACTTTGTAGAGACTAACACCCCTAACTGACTTTGTAGAGAATACCTCCCCAGTAATTGACTTTGTAGAGAATACCTCCCCAGTAATTGACTTTGTGGAGACTAACTCCCCAGTAACTGACTTTGTAGAGACTAACACCCCTAACTGACTTTGTAGAGAATACCTCCCCAGTAATTGACTTTGTAGAGAATAACTCCCCAGTAATTGAATAGACTCTCCCAGTAATTGACTTTGTGGAGACTAACTCCCCAGTAATTGACTTTGTAGAGACTAACTCCCCAGTAATTGACTTTGTAGAGAATACCTCCCCAGTAATTGACTTTGTAGAGAATACCTCCCCAGTAATTGACTTTGTAGAGAATACCTCCCCAGTAATTGACTTTGTAGAGACTAACTCCCCAGTAATTGACTTTGTAGAGAATACCTCCCCAGTAATTGACTTTGTAGAGAATACCTCCCCAGTAATTGACTTTGTAGAGACTAACTCCCCAGTAACTGACTTTGTAGAGAATACCTCCCCAGTAATTGACTTTGTGGAGACTAACTCCCCAGTAATTGACTTTGTGGAGACTAACTCCCCAGTAATTGACTTTGTAGAGAATACCTCCCCAGTAATTGACTTTGTAGAGAATACCTCCCCAGTAATTGACTTTGTAGAGAATACCTCCCCAGTAATTGACTTTGTGGAGACTAACTCCCCAGTAATTGACTTTGTAGAGAATACCTCCCCAGTAATTGACTTTGTGGAGACTAACTCCCCAGTAATTGACTTTGTGGAGACTAACTCCCCAGTAATTGACTTTGTGGAGACTAACTCCCCAGTAATTGACTTTGTGGAAACTAACTCCCCAGTAATTGACTTTGTGGAGACTAACTCCCCAGTAATTGACTTTGTGGAGACTAACTCCCCAGTAATTGACTTTGTGGAGACTAACTCCCCAGTAATTGACTTTGTGGAGACTAACTCCCCAGTAACTGACTTTGTAGAGACTAACACCCCTAACTGACTTTGTAGAGAATACCTCCCCAGTAATTGACTTTGTAGAGAATACCTCCCCAGTAATTGACTTTGTGGAGACTAACTCCCCAGTAATTGACTTTGTAGAGAATACCTCCCCAGTAATTGACTTTGTGGAGACTAACTCCCCAGTAACTGACTTTGTAGAGAATACCTCCCCAGTAATTGACTTTGTGGAGACTAACTCCCCAGTAATTGACTTTGTGGAGACTAACTCCCCAGTAACTGACTTTGTGGAGACTAACTCCCCAGTAACTGACTTTGTGGAGACTAACTCCCCAGTAACTGACTTTGTAACTCCCCAGTAACTGACTTTGTAGAGAATACCTCCCCAGTAATTGACTTTGTGGAGACTAACTCCCCAGTAACTGACTTTGTAGAGAATACCTCCCCAGTAATTGACTTTGTGGAGACTAACTCCCCAGTAACTGACTTTGTAGAGAATACCTCCCCAGTAACTGACTTTGTGGAGACTAACTCCCCAGTAACTGACTTTGTGGAGACTAACTCCCCAGTAATTGACTTTGTAGAGAATACCTCCCCAGTAATTGACTTTGTGGAGACTAACTCCCCAGTAACTGACTTTGTGGAGACTAACTCCCCAGTAACTGACTTTGTGGAGACTAACTCCCCAGTAATTGACTTTGTAGAGAATACCTCCCCAGTAATTGACTTTGTAGAGAATACCTCCCCAGTAATTGACTTTGTGGAGACTAACTCCCCAGTAACTGACTTTGTAGAGAATACCTCCCCAGTAACTGACTTTGTGGAGACTAACTCCCCAGTAACTGACTTTGTGGAGACTAACTCCCCAGTAATTGACTTTGTAGAGAATACCTCCCCAGTAATTGACTTTGTAGAGAATACCTCCCCAGTAACTGACTTTGTGGAGACTAACTCCCCAGTAATTGACTTTGTGGAGACTAACTCCCCAGTAATTGACTTTGTAGAGACTAACTCTGCTAAAACATATTTACTATTCATGAACATTTTCATTTTCCTACTTTCAAAATTAATCTTTTTTTGTTCAGATCTTGTCCTTATTTCATTGGTTTAGATTTTGAACTATAATTTTGTTAACCTGATTATTCTTCATCAAAAGACCCATTCTGATTTAAAAAGATTAATTTGCATAGTATGTTTAAAAACTTATATACATTTTTCCATACAAATATCTGTCCTTGTATATATTTGTCCATACAAATATTTGTCCTTGTTTACATCTGCCCATACAAATATCTGTCCATTCATACATCTGCCCATACAAATATCTATCCTTGTATACATCTGTAAATACAAATATCTGTCCTTGTATACATCTGTATATACAAATATCTGTCCATATATACATCTCCCCATACAAATATCTGTCCTTGTATACATCTGTCTATACAAATATCTGTCCTTGTATACATCTGTCTATACAAATATCTGTCCTTGTATACATCTGCCCATACAATTATCTGTCCATTCATACATCTGTCCATACAATTATCTGTCCATTCATACATCTGTCCATACAAATATCTGTCCTTGTATACATCTGTCCATACAAACATCTGTCCTTGTATACATCTGTCTATACAAATATCTGTCCATTCACACATCTGTCCATACAAATATCTGTCCTTGTATACATCTGTCCATTCATACATCTGTCCATTCACACATCTGTCCCTACAAATATCTGTCCTTGTATACATCTGTCCAAACATACATCTGTCTATACAAATATCTATTCATACATTCATCTTCTGTCCAAACATACATCTGACAGATTACTTTCTAATTTTACTGGCTATTAGAAGTAAGCCATCTCTGTTATATATAACAATGAGATGATTTAATTTCTGACACAGACTCTGTGTACAGCAATACTCACAGACAAGGTCATAGTTTTCTGTTCGACTGTAAAACAAAACAAAGAAAGCTACAATCAAATATGTGTTTTACCGAAAACACTCCACAAGGTTTTTTTTTATCAGTCAATCTGTCAACATTTAGATGAATTTTTTTTTTATTTTTTGCATATGTGAGTGACAATGATCCAGGGAATGTCATAAATGGGGGAATTTCACTTACAAGTTATTTTTGCAAATGACCTTTTATGAAATTCCTTTTCCCATAATTTTCAAATTTTTCACATCTGATTTTTTTTCTATGAAAATTCATTTATTTCATGGTTTATTTTGCATTTGTGTGAATTCTGTCGACTTTCCTGTGTGTATTTGTTCCTGAACCCAAATCAAAACTGTAAGACTTATATCTGCCTTCCACGATCAAATATCGAATAGATAAAACAATTATATCGACAATAGCAATTATAAATGAATGAATATTCTGCCTGAAACTTACTCAGACTACTGCTGCCGAAACTGGCCCTAACTGGTCCCACAACTACCTGTTTTGACAAGGTCTGAATTGCGGCCTCCACGGTGGATGGTCCAGAAGGATAGAGCAAGGCGACATTGACTGTGAATGGGTAGCCTCGTCGTGCTTTAGCAGGGGCCGTAACAATGTACTTGCTGTAACAGTTGCAATATCATACATGTAGTCACATTCAA